TACAACACCTTATGTTTACTTTTAGTGCCTCATGTCCTTCATACATACAAAATTCTGAAAATCTTATGCACAGTGGCTGGAGAGATAAGGCTTGAAATCATAAACCTTATAGATGAAAAAGACAAAACATGTGCCTTTCTTGGCTTTCAAGTCATTATACTATACTCCATTTATTATTATTATTATTTTGGGACAGCAGCAAGTTCTGGTGTGCTGGCACTGGCAATGCTATGCAGTTCTGTAACCTCAGATATTGGGGCATATATGACAGAAAGTCTAAATCTACCACAGGCCAATCTCTACTGGCCCAGCAATAAATACAAACAGACTGCACAGTGATGTAAACCCCTAGCATCTCTTTACCTATATTATTTATTTATCCTTGTGCAACCTTCTGCATTAACAGTTGTTATAAGACATCTCTCAGAAAAAGAAATAAGGGAAGAAAAAAAACCAAACAAACTGACAGTTCCTGATACATTGTAACATTGTTTCATCTGCAAAGTATTAAAATAGCCAAGGTTTGGAGACACTTCTGGATTTCACAGATAACATTTAAGACACAGAGATTTTGAGTGGGTTTTGGTGGGGTTTTTTTCCTGCACTAACTTCACTTAATGCAGGGCTGAGTAGTAACTTTTGACTACCCCTGGAGTGTCTCCATACCATCCAGGATTAGGTCCCTAACAGGTGCTCTGCACAATTCTATGGTAGGTCCTGTCTGTCTTTAACTTCAGAGGGTACACAGAAAACCAGTCTGCTGTTTCCCATGGAAAAGGTTTAGACAGCCTAAATTGCTCTAAGTGTTAAGCCCTTTGATGAAATAATTTCTCTAAAGCTCCTTAAATGGCACATTTAATTAAGATGGTGCGTTTGAAGACCATTAGAATGAGCTCTTCTCTTGCAAGTTCATGTTCCTAAACTAAGGTGGGGCAGATTCCCAACTCTCATTTTCGTTTATATTCATTTACAGGAGCATGTTTGTCTTGTGCTGGGAAACTTGTCCTGGTACCATTGCCTGAAGAGAATCGACAAACTTCTCATTATTATTTGTTCACAAATGTATCTACTGAGAAGAACTGCATCACATGATGTGCTCTATGGTCTCAAAACAGCTGTTCCATCCATACTTTCCAAAAAAATGAGTTCAGGAGCTCAGTGCTGACAATCATTTTCAAGTTATACCTCCCTCCACTCCCCAGCCCCATAGCACCATTTTGTGTTCTTTTCATGTCTGTATAGACAGTTTCAGTAGGAGCCAGGTAGAAACGCTCACCCTAATTGCTGACGCTCAGTGAGAGCACAGTAGCAGGACAAGCTAAGGCATTTTCTTACACAAGCAAATACACTCCAGCCACTCTGTCATCTGACAAGCTGCTGCTGGTGTATTGATGGATGAATTACTATATGCTGTAGACTCATACAGAAGCTTTTACAAGCCAGGCTGCTGTTATATTGGATTATTTCTGCTGAAGCTGAAGTGTTCTTGGGGAAGGGAAAAGTATTAACATGGGCTTATGAAAAGAATTGGGCTTAGATTTTTAACTGGCTGTAATTTGAAACAGTTTACAAAAAGCAGCATATTATAAAGCCTAGCTGTGATATTTCTAACTATATGGTTGTGCCTGAATTCTTGACCTTTGCTGTTTCTCACTTTGTCATGTACAAAAACAGGCAGCACTTCTCTGCTAAACTTCAGTGTCTGACATCCTAAGGTATCTGTTATTGCATATTTTTAGAGGGTTTTGCTTACTTTTCAAAGGAAACCAAAAGAAAAACCATATACTGACTTTCTTTATTTTAAAAAGTAGACACCAATATGAGTAAACATATGTCTACAATTCTATATGCACATTTGAACTAGCCACTGAGACGGGGGATGCTGTGAGCAATCCCATACATAGTCTGACATATAATATCAATCATAAATGATGCCTTTCATTCTAAAACACGTATGAATACCAGAATCAAGAGTAACCCTTAAAACTCTTACATCAAAGCACTTATTTGAAATCCAGTTTCACAGAAATCACCATAAATAGAATTCCATTGTTTTCCTCATTATTTCTCTGTCAGAAGTGATCCACTTAGAAGCAAAATGCTTTTCTCAAACTACCAAGCCACTGTACTCAACACTGAGAATCACCCATGAGCTTCAGGGAGGGTATTCTCCCTCCCTTCAGAGATGTCTCCCAGGTTTAATGCACTCACCGTCTCACTGGAGATGCAAAATAACGAAACATAAGATATAAGGGCACCTTTTCTATCACGGTTTTAAATACTCACAGGAGTTCTGACTTGTTAAATAAGATACAGTCATAATCACTAACCAGAGAAAAGCTACAAAAGCTCTTCAGTCACTCAGCTAATGGTATCTTTGGGTAAAAGAGCTGTTTTCATACTCTTTTCTTCAAAGAACACATGATGTTTGGAGTAGAAAGTGTGTTTCAAATCTGTAGGGATTTGCCTCAGGTGAAAAATTGGATAGCTGAATTTACCTATCTCCAGCCTGGCGCTGTTGTTAAAGAAGTTTCAGCCACAGAGACACCAAAGTGCCCCTTGCCCAAGTCTATGGAGCTCCCTCCCACTTTCAGTGCTCCTGAAATCCCACATCCAGCTTCTCTGTTATTACATGAGATGCTGACAGCATAGCAACTACTGTGATGGGATTAAATGACTGCTGAAGAATAAACTGGGGGAACCTAGCACAAGAGGTTCCGTGCAGGGCCCAACTGAAGATCTCTGCAGCTCATATATGATCTCCAGCAGTGGCAATAGGAGGTCCAGGCTAGGAGGGTATCTAGGTTGGTCTGTTTCTGAAGTCTGTGTTTTGTGCTCTACCAGCATCCACGATTGCTATATTAGAGTATGTTACAGGGTACGTACCTCCTGAGTCCTTTCAATATCCATTCATGAATCTGTTTCTCTTTAATTTCTCTAGGAAATCCCTTTTTGCCTCTGCAAGTACTATTGCAGAAGTTTATCTTCCGTGTGGATAAGTACCTTTTCAATTCAGTGCCCCTCAGTTCTTACGTTGCAGAATTTGGGTAAACTATTGTACTGCATTCATCTTATTTACCAGTTTTCTAATTATATAAACACACCCTCCTGCTTTTCCCTCCCAGCTAAGCAACCCTACATTTTTGACCTCCATAACACACTGGAGAATACTGAACAAAACTCGTATTAGCATCAAGACTTAGGTGATCTGAAAAGTGACCCTTCCCACTCTGAAAAATAACTGTTATATCCTGCTTTTAATTTCCTGCCCTTTGTCAGCTTTCAGTTTGCAAAAGAACCTTTTTTCAAGTACCCTGACAACTTAGTTGGCTTTTATTGAAATCCCAGATAGGTTACACCATCTGGTTCCACTTCATACTCTTGCTTTTTTGCACCATTATACAGCAGATTAGTGAGGTAGGAGTTCCTGGAACAGATTCTTATTCATGGACTCAGAAATCTTCTTCTTTATTAAGACACTGTCATTTTACCAGGGATGGAAATCATATCTATCAGTCTGCAGTTTCCATTATCCCTGTTTTAGCTCAGAAGAAGAAAGAATTAAGGAAGTCAACCCAAGCCCACAGCAAATATTCACTATAGATCTCCACATATTTCTTCATGGAACTGTTTTCTTGCTGCCTCAAGCCTCCTATCCATACATAGTGCTGTAACTGGAGAGTTTTGATTTAGGGACATTGCAAAACTCATTGCACTTTTTCAAGAATGGAACAGTCTTTATGCACCTTTCCTACTCTTTTAATGTAATTTGGTGAGACAACTGGAATTTGAGGGTTGTGGCTTTTTGGTGATAACTTGTGGATATTTACTGAAGTGGAAAGGGGGGTAGGAATCTGTAGAAGTCCTGCTGTGAAGGAGCACTGGTCATGAACTCTGCACCACTGACCCACCACCTTGCCACGTACCTGGGGCAAAGTCTACATAATCTGTGACATCCAAGTGTGTCCATTTGAAAACAAAAAAATATAACATTGCTTTCTTCAGTTCGCATGGCTTACCAGTTCTATTTAGAACTTTTTGCAACAAACCTTGACTTCTTCTGTTATTACAAGTATTATCTGAGAGGCACAATGTTGTACCTAGCAAAATAAAGTATTTTGAACATATATTCTGTATGAATTGAACATATGAACATATGAATTGAACATATATTCTGTATGAACAGCTTGATTTACTTTCATGGAGCACCAACAGTTTCAGCTAGTGACCAATTTTATTCTGCATGTGGAAGCATGTTTCCTTAAAAGCATTAAACCATGGAAACTTGCTTATCAAGTGAGTGACATTTTGCCCAGTTGATCAGTCTTTCATGGAAAGTCCACTTACAGAAGACTCATGCTTCTTCCCTCCTTAAGTAGACCTCTTTAGGACTGAAAACCAAGTGTAGTGGCAACACAACCCTTCATACTTCATTTCAGGAGAAAAATATCAGAGCCACTGATGCAGGCAGCATTTGCATGCAGATTCCCTGGATGCTCCACGGAGATTCTCTGGATGCTCTTTTCCAGTCACCAAATCCTAGAAGCAGCCTTGCTGAAACCTGTATCTGGGCCAAAGTCTGTTGCCAGTATTCACCAGCAGATATTTGTTTTGTTTTGTTTTGTTTTGATATCAGTAAAAGGGATTTTGCCCTGCTGGCTATAGCAATTCAAAACAGGGCTGCCAGCTACATCTGAGAGTACCTCCTACATCTCTGACAACGGGTAGTTCTGCTTCTGCTCCAGCACCTGCCAGGCACATATGTCTGTTTTGTCCTGTATCACACCTTGTCAACACTTGCTGCTGGTCAGTGTAATCATTGATAGCATTTTTATTTGCAGCAGTGCAAGCTGGTTTGGCTACATCTGTCAGTACCTTGAAGGGTTGAGATCTGAAATCAGCCACTCTTCTGCTTGGCCAGGTCTTCAGCTAAATGATTTCTTTCTGAATTAGGCAGCACCTCCATTTAACTTTCACCATTCTCTCTCTTTCCACTGAAGGACTGCCAGAGAAACACAACAGGACAGCACTGTGAGCAGTGTCCAGATGGCTTCATTGGTGATGTTGTCAGAGGAGTGCCCACGTTCTGCCAGCCCTGCCCCTGTCCTCTGCCAGAACATTCCAAGTATGTAAAGAGTCTTTGCTTTGCTTTGATTTGGACTGGCTTTGAGCCTTCCCAAGGTGGCGTCAGCATCCCTTCCTTGATGCAGGAAACAAGGCTGCTGCCCTTGACAAATGCGGGAATATAAGAGGAGTACCAGCTGCTCACATTTATAACCACAGCAAACAGCATTTCTCTTGGAAGGTGTAAAGTATCCTTCAGTGCTCATATAAATGTTTACCAGAAGGTAGAAGAAAATATTTGAGCAAATTCAAGCTCACTCTCTTTTACGTAGGAGAGATTATCCAGTTGTCTGGTTACTTTTAGAGGCTCTTAAAGTCCAATTCCCAAGGAAGGTAGCATCAGGGATTCATGTGACTGAGACAGAGAGACAGAAAGATCAGTCCATGTCCTCTGAAGGGTAAAAGTAACCACAAAAAAGCATAACCTGTCAGTCTCCTGAGTCAACAGCAGTTGGATCTGGTTAGTAGAGTAACATTTAAAAAGAAAGAACCAGAGGACTCTGTGATAGATACGGTGACGAGTTACTTTTAGGTAACAAACTCTGAAGTCTGACAGAAAAAGATCAAGCCAAAGAGCTCCAGCTGCTGAGTGCTTTGTGCCTTCAAAAAAAAAAAAAAAAAAAAAAACAAACAAACAAACAAACAAAAACAAACCACAAAAACAAACAAACAAACAAACAAAAACCAAACAAAAACAAAACAAAAAACAAACTAAAAACTACAAACTATGATCAGCCATTAGAAACTGAGTGGCACGTCAGCAATGCAGCTGAAAGAAATAATCAGCTACATCCTGCTCAAGTTTCATCCTCTGGGAGAGAGGCATCTCTGCAAATCTCACCATAATGCATAGAGGAGACACTAGTAAATTGTTGCCAATAGGTTGAAGCTGTTTCTCAGGGAGCTACGTACTCCTCTTTTATTGTTTTCCATTCTGCTTTCAGCAGGGCTTCTCAGCAAAGGGAATTTTGTCCTCACTGTGTTTGCTGTTGCCATAGAATTACTCACACAGCCTGGGATGAGCTGCATTTTGTTCAGCTGCTCAAGGCTCAACCTGGCAATGAAACAAAATCACTCCGGCCAAATTCCTGCAGATCACCTCTGGCTTTTGCAGTGAGCTGTAGACATGTGAAAGGACCATGTGGTGGAGAACAGCTATGTTGAAAAACTTCAGCTTTGCCTGGATTACAGAGAAAATCCTCCAGAGACAGTGGAAGAACCTGGCTTTGCTCACTTACAGAAAGGCTTAGGAGTGAGTGAGCTCACAGATGAAGCAGACTACTTCCTCCAGTTTCAGTAGCAGCTGTAGTGCCTGAAGAAGTAGAAACAGGTAGAAATAGTACTTTTCCCTTTGCAAAGTGACTTTTTTTAGCCTGCTGGGTACACAGCAGCCTCTTCAGTGTAAGAAGTTGTTCTCTCAGCCACAACCTGGGCTGCACATGCCTGAGGCACTACAGCACAAGACCCAGTCTCTGCTAAGCAAAGTCAGCCAAGCAAGGTCTGGTCTGTCCTTCCTATGGCATGATTTGACACAGCATGGGTAGGTTTGCACTCACCCAGATCCTGCCTAGACCTGCAGCACACTAGGCTCTTCAGCAGTGCCCCCTGACAGCAAGGAGCTGGTCAATCCACCAGGCACTGAGCAGGGCTCAGTGCAGCAGGACCAGCAGGAACCTGACCTACAGCCTACCTCAGCCAGTGCTATGTGAGATGGGAGCAGAGACCAAAGAGCATTCCCTGCTTCAACATGCTCCTTAGCCCTTCTGCTAGGAACATAATGCCTCTCCTATTTCAAACCACTAGTGATAAGGAAACCCCAAACTCAAAAGGACAGCAGCATGGGACTGGGAAGGGAGAACAGAAGTTGCACAAGGCCTGAATGCAGATACTTCTCCATTGGCAGCAATTATAGCTTGATGAGCCTCAGGATGTTCTATGTTCTATGATATGTCTCCCATTTAAAACTATCCCAGTAAAAATCTACTTTGGTTTTTCAGAGTTTTCCCTCAGAAAAGTACTGAAGGCAATAATTAAAGCAATATCCCATCCTAGTTTGCCTCATACCCCTATTTAAATAATGTGCAGAAATTGCCTGTTCAGCTTCCTGCATGAGAGAGACTTGACCACAGAAATAGTTTTCAGATGGGTCTAGAACAGGATAATAATAATTGAGTAACATTAAGCCTTGCATAACTAAATTCAAAGAAAAAATGTTCTTTCTTAGTTTTTTTTTTCAGTTTTCCTTCATTAATCCTACTCCATATATAGTAAGGAAAAATAATAACTCTACCATAAATCAGAGAACCATTAAATGTCTTAAAGACCATTCAAAGGACATTGTTTTTGTGCTGTGCTTTATTTTGGAAGTAGCCAGTGAATTCATACTAGGCAGAATGACCAAATCTGTAAACTGACAGACTCATCGGATAGATATTTTTTCCAGGAACTCAGATGTGTGTCTCTAGATTTTCTGACCAGGCTATCTTCATATCTTGCTATCCTGGGAATTTTTGGAGTAACTTTTGGACATTGCATATGAAGTGTAATGTCATCTCTTTGGAATAACAAAAAGGGGGATGGAGGTTGCTTCACAGTCTAGCAGATGTTATTTCTTTTCAAAGTCCAGAGAATTATACCACCTCTTTTTTTTCCCTCTAAAAGATTACAAAAAGTATAAAACTTCAGATTTTAGTTGTCTTTCATAACTTAGATCCACAATGTGGTTTTTTCAACTATGTGAAGTAATTAATCTCTTTAACAGAACTGCAAGCCTGCCAAATTATTATGATTTTCTCAATATGTTCTTGTAAAAGCTGCACAGAAGTTAATTTGTGAATTCTGTGAGAAGCATCTCATTTTATGTTCTCTCTGATTATATGAAATGTTTTGAGACAGAGCAGAGAGATCCAGAGATCCAGTCACAGATTTATATATCTCTGGTTGTTCAATCAGATGAGAAATGCTGGCAGGAACTGAAATTATGCAGGAATTCTTGTCACCTTTCAACGCTGTTTACTCCTGGAACAAGCAGTGCATGGCTCATGCTCTTTCCCATTGATCTGAGTCTTTTGTCCAGTGTGAAAGGGTTGCAACTGAGCCACAGCTGCCCAACACCCTGTGGCTCAGGAGCTGCGTTTTAGCAACTGTGGGCCTGCAGCTGGCAAGTGCTGTCACTCACTACTCGGGTTGCTTTCTAGTGCTGGCAGAAATTTATTCACACATATTACAAACTAACTAGAAACATCTTTAGAACTGCATCTCTTCTTTTCTGCAAATGTATTTAAGAGTTGTCCACCACTGTGTTTGAAGCGTACATACAATTTGCACTTTCCACATCTGGCTACTGCTGTTCTTTGGATGGCGTACTTAGTTAATCATTTGTTACATCCTGAAAACATACGAAAACAAAGACAAGAACTTTTATATATGTATATGTATATGTATGTATGCATTTGTACAGCTCCATAGTACTATACACTAATTATTGCTTTCTATACTAATTAAAATTACTAAACAGGGGTATAATATGAATAATATAAAGAGTTTAATACCTATCCAGCAAAGAGTCATCAAGAGCCAGAGTTCAAACTAACAGTAAAATGTCTATAATTTAATAAAGAAATATTCCCAAGTGTTTGCTGTCGCCTGCTCTTCTAATTATTCATTCTAATGAAATTCCAGTTTTGCAGTCTCCTGTTACAGAAAAAGTGGAAGTGTGCGTTGTGTCTGTAAAGAAAACTATGCAGGACCCAACTGTGAAAGGTAAGAAAAAAATTAGGATGACTTGCTGATCAGCAATACCTAAGTCCAGAATTTTTTAAGGGAATCTTCTCATATGGTTGAGAAATCTGGTGCATTTGTTTTCGTCAGGTTAAATCATGTCTGTTAAATAATCTCATTCAGTTTCTACTAAAAACCACTAAAAGTTGCTGCGGAGACACATTAGCATAAGACAGACATTTGCATCTGATGTATTTTGATCTATTTCCTTCACTTCGTGTACCTTCATGTGGTAATCTGCCTAAAATGAATGTAATTTAAAAATACAAAATATAAATCAGAAATAGCAACTGAAGAGAAAAATAACTACCATATAGATGCCTCTTGAAATTCACCTGTCTAAAACATATGGCAGGCTTCTACTGAATAAATTTTTCTAAGACAAAGAACAAAATCTATTTTTGAGTCAAATTCTTAATGGGCAGATGCAGCTTTTTTAGTTACATTTTAAAGGCACTTTACAAACATAATTCAATAAAGCCAAGCAAGCAAGCATAGGCCAGTGTTGCATTTGAAATTTTCCTCATGTCTGTAAACAATTTTCAGTAAATATTTTCTAAATCACAAAGTACACCAATAAGCGGAGCTGTACAACAGAAATATAACTACCTCTCATGTCCTGTAAGAGGCGTCTTACTTGCTATGAACATACATGAGTGATGTTGCAAGGAACGTCAGAGGCCTGATTATAATTCAGGAATTGTCCTTGAGCAGCCAATAAATTAAAACAGCTCTAACACAAAGACTGAAGGGTATAGGATGGCTCAGACACTGGCTTCCTGAACATCTCTTTTTTTCCCTTAAATCGCCTAAAGTATTTAAGTCTTCAGACAACTATCATTAATGGGCACGTCTTTAATTCAAATGATACTTAATGTAACTGTCAGAGAAGGGAGAAAAGGGATGCTTATGATGCAAAGAGAAATCGATATGAAAAAGGTAAAGTGAACAAATGAGTGAAGGTTTTTCCCCTTACAGATGATGCAAAAACATCAGTAAATTACCTCCACATCATTAACGTGGTTAAAGCAACAGTGAAAGCCCTTTAGACAGATGGCACACAGCTAAAAAAACCCCACCCTTGTTTACAGGCCCATGGCAGTATTCTTTTGTTCTTCCAAAATGTCAGGTTTATACACAAAGGATAATACAGACAATTAAAAGGTCAGTGAGATTTCTTAACGGTTATTAAAATGTCAGCCTAGTCTACAAGCAATACAAATCTTATGAAATGGGCAGCAGATGCATAGGAACAGCAGAAAATAGCATTGGCTTTGTTTTCTAATAGCCACTACCCAGCCTGACACAGTGCATCTGTCTTAAGGAGGGCAACGCTGTGTAGAAAAAGCTACAGAAAGAAATCAGCCTGTCCTGGTCACAGCATTAAGACCTTGGCTAATTGCTGGGATAAGCAGCAAGCAGGGACAGACAGGACTTGCCTTCTGGTAGGCTCCTGGTCCTCCTTCCATTTGTGTCAGAAACATCAAAAAGCATTTCAAAGATGGATGAAGCATTGCTTGTCCTTGTCCACTTGCTAAAGAGCAAGTCCCTACTTCACATATGCCACTGGCTACTGTCACCATTCCCTACTCCCTCTGCAGCCATTAGGCCAGCAGCTTTATGACAGGAGGACTGGGGGATCCTGAGCGAGAAGGGTCATTGCTCCTGTCCCTGCCTCCAGCTCAAAGAGCCACTCCTGTCCCCAGGGAGACGAAGGCTACATCCTGTTTCCAGTTCTCCCTCCCAGCTCTCCACAGCAGTTGGTGACAGGTGACAGGCACCCTGTAACAGTGAGCTGCAGAACACCCTTCAACCGGCAGCATGTGGGATCTCCAAAATAGCTCACAGGGAGGCAACCTGCTCCAGTTCCTCTGGCATTTGTGTAGGAGGGTTTCTTGTGCTGCTCTAGAGGTTTGGCACAAACTCACCCAGTTTATGTTTGCCAGGAAACAGTGCTGAGGATTCACAGAGGCCCTCGGTAGGAATTGAGAAAACCGGCTTCCCAATTTGAAACTTAGGAATTAATAATTTTTCTTCTGAATGTCAACAATAAGGCAGGAGGGTGGTAGATGATGAAATGTAGGTTTTGTTAATGCCCAAATGTTAAAAAAATAACTGAACAAATGACACTTTATTTTCTAAAGCAAATAGATTAAAAAGGTTCTTTTGGCATTGCCAAGGAAGAGGAAGTTAATTTCTTATTCGCCAATAATTACAGGAAGAAACTATGGCTGCAAAATGAAACAAAGATAGCTTAGCAGTTTTATTATGGCAGAGGAAACATCCTTTGTTAGCAACAAGGAGTCATCTATTGATACAATGAAGGAAAAGACATTTAATGCAGGCCTCTGAATTTTTTCGGGCCTTGAAGTGCAGAGATCGACCAGTACATTTTCAGTCAGTGGTCTCTGCTCTTCTCACACGCTACCCATTATTCAAAAGAGGCCAAGTGCCTCAGCCCTATGAGATGATCTGAGTGGCAAAGGGAAGGGGAAGGTGACACATTACCTTTCAACTCTTAAAGTTTCTCTTTTTGTTTTAAACAGCTGCTCCAGATAAGAAAATATAATAAAGGTGAGTTATAGACTCACAGAATAGTTCTGGTTTTGAGGGATCTTAAAGATCATCTAGTTCCAACCCCTTGCCATGGCAGGGACACCTACCAATACACCAGGTTGCTCAAGGCCTCATCCAACCTTGAACATCTCCAAGGATGGGGCTTCCACAACTTCTCTGGGCAACCTGTTCCAGTGCCTCAGGTAGTCATAAAAAGCAGCACTTACAAAGTGTATCTGTGAGGATGTGAGGAAATGTCGACTACATTCCTGGCAAGTGAACCGAATGGTATATATCAACAAAGAAGAAAGGGAAAATTACTTTGTCCCAGTGAGAGGGCAGACATTGCATGCCTGAAGAGGATAGCACACAGTCTTGGGTAGATGCTGGCTAGTCTGGTCCCAGCCCTGCTCAGTGGCCTCTGTGACTTGGTGGCCACATTAGACAGATGATCATCTGGAAAATACCTAACTACAGAAGACCAAACCCTTCAAGATTATATAGTTCATAATAAATCAAATGTTTCTACAGATTGAAAAAACAAACAAAACCCCAAACCAAAACAAACAAACAAACAAACAAAAACCCCAACCAGCAACAACTCAGAGGTTTTTTTTTTCCTTGTTCAAGCTTCATAAACATTCTGAAATTCTGAAATTTGGAAAAATACTACAATCTCACATTGGCTGAAATATCAGCAAATCATAGCAAGACTTTTGGCATGATTAAATGGTAGCTTTATCCATCACTGCCTGCTCTAACTCCCACAGGAATGGGAGTGACTCCACCAAAGTCAGATAAATTACACTCTGCACTCAGTTTAGCATTCACAGTTCTTCAAGGGATGCACAGAACTCTCAGTCACATTTTTATTCTTTACATCTGGGTAACCCAAATGATAAAATCTGCACCAAAGATTCTGGCAGTGCTGCAAAGATACAAAAAGAGCCTTTGTCATTGACAAAAGCAGTATTTGAGGCAGCCAAGTGGTTTATATTAAGATGCTTAAAATTTTATGTGTTTTTACTGTGGGGGTTCAGGACTGGAAGATGAACAAAGCAGTGTTGAGAAAATTACTTTCTTATTAAAAAAAAAAATCAGCAAAAGTAAGAACAGATCAAACCTCAAAGCTTTTATCAGATCTCCCGCATTTTCATTGTTCAGACATGGCAGAACCTGAATTTGACTATGTTCAGATTTTAGGAGACAAGAGACCTTGGCCCAAGTATCCAGCCAGAATATATGAAAATTTAACTGAACTGCCTAAGTGCTCACCCTCCCCACTCACCAACAGCAAAACAAACAGCATGTTAAACAGGACTTTGTGGATGGAAGACAAGGACAACACGATGATAGAGCAAAATTAACTACAACAAATGCTCCTTACCTAAGACATTGCAGCAACTATTCAAGCCTCCAATTTCTTCAGCCAGCAATTGCTACACCAGCTAGTAATTCCCCTCCCTGCAGTAATTCCTCATTTCCAGTTTGGGGATATAAGTCCCTGATCTCTGTGCCCCAGGCTTCTGGGTCATGGGCCCTCCTGCCACCATGCAGTAACACTGTGAACAGTGTGGGTTCCCCCTGTCCTTCTAGCTGACCTCTTCAGTCCATCAGACACTGTTCCATGCTGCTCCAACTGCAAGATCCTCCAGTGAATCCCTTGACTGAGGATTCGCTTTCATGCACTGCTCCATGCTCACCCCAGTACCAGTTCTCTTTGCCTCACTGGTTGTTTTGCAAAAGTTCCTCTTGCTTGTAGGATTAAGCCCACTCCCTGATATTAGCAGAAACATTTCTAACTGAGACACTTCTTTACCAAAGGATGACCAAATATGTTACTACCTCTCAGCTTAAGGCCACTGGTCATCTGGGAATGGTTCATATTACTGGTTTGTCTAGGCTCTCAAAAACCACCACAGTTTCAATATCTTTTCCTTTTTAAGCTGTAGAAAATTCTCAGCTGAAATGCTTCCCCAAACATGACAAAACACGATAAGCAATTTGGACCCATTTCAGGCCTTCTCTGTGGTGCTTGGTACCCACCTCCCTCTCTCCCTCCAAAAACCAACAGAGGAATCCTCCCTTCCCAGGCTGCTGGCTGATTTCAGCCTTTTGCCCTCATCCAGCAGCCTAACATCAAACAGATCTGAAAAACGTAGTCTGGTTCAGTGCCTCTTCTGTTTTGCAGAAATCAGAAACCACCCTAATACCTCACCATTGAAGTATTTCTATAAACCTTTCCTGCTCAGTACTTTTTATGTACATTTATAATAAAAATAAGTCTGAACTTCCTCTGAGTTTCAGCATCACGAAATGCTTACCCCAGTTTCCTATATAACACAATATAGTTGGTGAGATCCAAAGCTGAAAGAGACCAAAATAAACACTGTACAGCTGCTTCTCTGCCAAGGTCATTCTGTCACAGATTTTAAAACAATAGAGGACAAATAATTTCGCTGCTAAAGACACACAGAAAAAATAAATCAATGCAGACTGGTGTGCATGAAATACCAGGGGTGTTCAAAAGGGGAAAAATATATAACTATACAGATTAGGATTAGAGTAGAAAGCAGCCTCTGCAGAAATTCAGTTCCTGATTTGCCTCCTGTCCATTAGCAGCTGCAGACAGTCATCAATTCCTGGTAACATAAATAAGGTTAGAAAAAATGGTACTGCAGATGGGAATGTCATTGCTTGTCACTGACAGGTTCGTTCTTCCTTTCAGGTGTGCCCCTGGTTACTATGGGAACCCTTTGCTAATTGGAAGCACTTGTAAAAAATGTGACTGCAATGGCAACTCGGACCCAAACATGATTTTTGAAGACTGTGATGAAGTGACTGGCCAGTGCCGCAACTGCCTGCACAACACCAGTGGTTTCAAGTGTGAACGATGCGCTCCGGGTTACTATGGGGACGCCAGATTTGCTAAAAACTGTACAGGTATTGTTTCAGTTTAGCCCAGCAATGCTGAGGAAAAGGCAGCACAGCACAATCTATGGATGATCTCTCAAATATCGGAGATACGTGAACGAGTTAGAAGGCATCTGTGGCCCTGGGAGGCAGGCAGTGCTCCCAGCCATCTACCTGGTGGGATAATTTGGATGCCCATTCAGTTGAATCATCCTGGGTGGCAGGGAAATATCTCTTTCCAGTGCCATGAGCAAGTCTCAGATCCCAGACTCCAACACCTTTAGTGCCTGGGCAGGATTAATGAAGGCACTGTTGTGTCCTCCTGAATATTGTTTTAAATAAGGGTGTCTAAGCTTTCTTTGGACAGAGACTTCACCTTTATGTCCACACCATGTACTGCCCAACATGACCACTCAGACTGATGGTGGTTGAAGACTTGAAAGTGTTTTTAGGGGAACAGGATCCTTCTTCCTGCCCTGATCCAATCCCCACTCACTTTCTGCTAGTTTCCACACTGGTAATGTATTCTGCACTTCCTTTGAGTCTGTGTAATCTTGCTGGTTACAGTATTTCCACACCAGAGATGAGTGTACTTTAAGAGTCTAGTACAGTGCTACCCAGAGGATCTTACCAAAACATACCTGTACAGAGGGACCACAAAGATTTATCTCCTCTCATATAATTATTCTCCTGATTTCTATTGAGTTCAATCCTTTGAACTCATGCCCTTCGTCCTTGCTTTGGCTCTGGAAGACATGTTTACATCCTCTTTCAAAGCACTTAGGAATAGCTACTGCAAAATGCAGGTAACCCAGTGCAAGGACCTTGGGGCTCCCTCCCAACCTCTTTGGAAGGGTCTTTCCCTGAAGGACCAGAACACAAACTGGGGAGACAGATCACTTCTAGCTCTTCATCTGACTCAAAGATAAGGCACAGACAAAGCATGCATCCAACTTGGACCTCAGAAGTGCTCCAGAACCTCAAGATACAGAGCTACAGGCCTCAGGGCCTTAGCAGTGTCTTGATCCTTTTTGCAGCTCACTGTCCACTTGAACTTAGCTTTTTACAACCTTACTAGGTGTGTTTTTGGACCCACAGGATGGAGTCTGTGAGAACATTCCATACTCAAGTGTCCCTTGAGCTGCTATCTTCATTTGTAGGGGACACCATATGATATTACTATTGGTCCTTTCTGGTTTTATGTTCCGGTGATAGATGGAAGTTGAGTGCCCATCTCCAGGATGTAACTCACATCACTTATTCACATGTTTATTTTTCGTTTATAAGAACAGGAAGAGGTAGTGTTCATGCACAGTGATCCCAAAAGCCAAAGCCATGTGTCCAAACTAGCTAAAAAGACATCAGCTGTAGGGAACACAGTGCCCCAAAACTCACCTCCTGCCTGGACCTAGGCACCTCTGTGATTTTGAGGTTGCAAAAGGAAACCTTGTTTGTGAACTTCACTGCTTAAGTCACCTCCCCTGAGATGATTTAACTGCACTTCTCCCATAAGGAATGAATGACAGGATCTAGTCTGAGGCTGCTGAATTCCATGAGGCAGGAGAAACACACCCAGAACTTCAACTCAGCAAACCTCAGCAACTGTGCCCTGGCCATAGACAAAAGCAAAGCTTCAAACACCT